TCCAGGTCTATATAAGCATAAAAGATTTTACTTACTTTAAACAGAAGTAAACCAAAATGCTATTATTTAGCTGTATTCAGCTTCATAACAAATACTCATAGGACACAGCAAAACCTTTGGAGAAACAGGAGATAAAAACACTGCATAAAAAAGAAAAAAATCTCTGGATGTTTTGGGGCCTTCATTACCTTTTATGGGCCTCCAAAAGAAAAATAGTTTCCATTATCTCTCATGAAAAATATCTTAGCGGTGTCTGGTTTGTATTTTCTTTGTGTTTAGATTTAAAGTGCAATGAAGTTTAAAACTGCAGTAACAAAGGATGTTACTATAAATGTAACTTTCTAAAGAATAAATTATTTTGCAATTGACTCATACCTACCAAATGCCTCACAAGACATAAACCATTTCTTTCTAGTATATTACAGAAATGCTCAAAATCATATCTCAAGTAGAACTATGAAATAAAATATATATATAAGGAAAAATGTCACGTTTAAGTTTGCTTAGCTGAAGTTCAAGAATATTAATTGTAGATTCACTTAAAATTAATATTTTTGTTGCCACAGCATAACTTTAGAAGAGTCTCTAAATAAGCATTCATGTAGTACCCCTTAAGAAGTAGTGAATATTTTGCAAGATTCATATGCCTTGGTTTTTGGGGCCTCGGTGTTCCCTTCACAAAAGGTATCACCAGCAGCCCATTCACATTTGGCTTAACTGTCCTGACAAGAAAAAAATATTAGCCATTAAAACAATAAATGGAAACTCTTTTCAAACACATTTTGAATAAAATAATTGGACAGGTGTTCAGTTTGGTTGGCTATAGTCCTTGTTCAACAAGAGAAAGCATTTACCAGGACTTGTCAAGAGAGACAGATAACATAAGACATCATCATCCACCTGTCTAAAGAACAGATGTCATCTCAAAAACCCATCTGTGGTTTCCCAAGCAAGGCAATTCTCTTGACGGTTTCAAGCAAATGCAAAAACCGCAGATCATGATCACTGGGAGGGTAGGAAGAACAGGAGGGGACTAAAAATAGACCTACTCGGATTCTATTAGGGTCAGAAACAACAAATTAACTAGAAATGAGGAAAACATTTCTTGAAATCCTTGGAACTTTACATAGATGAGAAGAAATTACATCAATGACACTGATCAAAACCCTAGCCTCAAGGAAACAGTAATCTCAGTTTATTCTGACCAGAAGATAATATTTTGGGTTAAGTGTTTAGAGGAATGCAGTCCTAGAATTTAAGTCACATTGAATAAAGTGTTACAGAAATAATTAAAACTTGTAGAGGTTGGAGGGAATAGTGAAATATTATCAACTCTAGAAATATTATCAACTCTAGATTTAAGTTCTACTTTTATATAAACCTTTACAGATCACAGCGCAAGTATTTATATGAACTCAGTTTTATATTTAGCCACTCTGTACGCAAATATTCATAACTCTTTGCAGAAAACACAGAGCCTGAAATACTTCTGAAGGCATGCCATGATGGGCTTCGCATGTCGATTAACAGATGCAGAGAGATTTTCTTCAAAGTTTCGTAGAAGACATTGCCCCTCATGTGGTTAAATAGTTATCTAGTCTCTGACAACATCTAAATGCTCAACACTTCTCCTTGTATTCATCCAAATCTGAGATACATAGGATAGAGGATCAACAGGCATACCATACAGACATGTCCTGAATAGCAAGGCAAATGGAATCTGCTTCATGAAGCATGGGTGAGCAAGCAACAAACACTACAGTCACCATATGATCCTAAGTGTTACACATTTAATTCATCACTAGTAAGTTCCTTAAGAAACAGTATCACTTACATTATTGAGGTACTCACAATATCAATATTATACCCATGAGAAGGTGGGATCTTGCAATGCACAACCCAGTCCCTTTCTATGAAATGCAGGCTGCGACACTTGTGTCTGCCCCCCCTTCCCCACAAGCAACAGTCGGGATTTCCCCCTGAAATACTGAGGGGAGAGAAGAGCTGGCACTCAGCCACATTGCTCCTGCCCCATCCTAGCAGATCTCCAGCTCTTTCCATCAAACCCAGGAAAGGCAGATGAGGGAGAGTATTACACGAGGGCAGGCAGTTCTGGGCCCCAGAAAGCCTGGGCAAGTGGAGCTCAGCACCCCCATGACGGTGTTAAGGCCCAACAGACGTGTCCCAGAAGCCTGGCAATAATCAATTCAGCTAAGGAACAGGAAATACAGACTCCTGGCCCTTTCCATCCCTGCTCCCACCAAACAATGGTAACCCCGTCCAACCACTTAGCGGTACCATTGCAGCTGGTGACAATACACTAAGAAAATCCAAGGAATTGTGCAGTATTACCAGCAACACAGAGTAGGACAGGTCCAACTAGCAGCACAGCTGGGAACGTACCATGCTAGGCAGATATGCTACTTTATAAGGCAGGATCGTTATCTCAGTGCATTGCTGCAGTATGCCACAGATACAGAAGATGATTTGTGTTATGTAAAAAGCATAACCTACCAAGCAACCTATATAAGGGTTATTCATGCAAGCTTACTCCTGAGATGGAACCAAGAACGGCTGGTTTTGCCCATTTTGGGTATGAAGGCATCAACAGTCACACTTGAACGCTAGGAATTCTGCAGCAGTTTGTCATTCCACGTGCGTCCACAACATGCTAAGCGAAGTCAGGAGCCGTTCCAGGTAAACGGGAGAAGCGCAATCATACCTCTGCCCCTGTCTTATTACACTAATGTCAGCGGTGTTAGTGTAGTTCATTCATACTTACAGCTGTTGAAGTTTGACAAACAGACAATTATGGAGACTTCAGGCTTAGAATTTATGAGCAACTTCCTCTATCTATACTCAAACAGATTATTTAGGCGCCTTAACACTTTGTTAAGCACACATGTTAAGCACGTTCCAACCCCTACTATTCTGTGATTCTGTGATACACAAGTCAATTCTTTTGGAGGGTGAGGGGGTAAAAGCCTCCAGCTGGCCACAAGTACCCATTGGGAAAGTTTGCCTGACTTGCTAACAGCACATGCATTGCAGTTTGTTACAGTGAAATCAAAAGTCAGTTTACGTGCTGGAACGCAGAAAAAAAGCCCACAAAACAAACTCTTTGAGCGTTCAGACCCACCTAACAGAGATGGACGGCTGGAAAGAGGAGAGAATGACTATTTGGCTGATTTTTGCCATTGTGTCAATACTAATACAGTGCAACACATATCAAAAAGAACATTTCTATTTGGCTTTTATGCTGACAGTTAGTACCAGGTTCACCATAGCTGGGGTTCAGAACATACTGGAGGTATACTGGGCAGCTTACTCTCATCTCCACAGCATATGTTCCAGTTGTCCATAACACATAATTACTTTTAACAATTGAGATAGCACTGGCTTTGGCTGTAACAGAATCCATGGTGACATAAATTCTTCCCAATAGCTTTTTTACTTCATACACAGCACAGATCAGAGAACTGCTCTTATAAGACTATATTGACATTTCTGTCCTTCACGTTAGGATTCATTTATTTAAAAATAAGCAGCTAGTGTTATTTTAGGTGAATCAACCTGTCCCCTTTGATCTGCTGTTCCAGAAGAGCTGAATTCCAGAACCTTATGTGCTACATCCATCGATTTCATGTTGCTGTCTTGGTTATCGAGGGTCACCCAAAATGGCAATACACACCTAAGGGTCCCGAATCCCACTCAGTGACCAAAGACCTGTTTAAATGGTGTGGTGGTATGAGAAGTCCCCTGTTTGCACATAAAGGCCTCCAATTCTAGAATAAGCTTTAGCTAAGGTCATGGCCTCTCTACAACAGTTATTTTCAAAGAGAATCATAGAATCTTAGGATAGTTTGGGTGAGAAGGGACTTTCTAGACCATCTAGTTCCAGCCCCCCTGCCATGGGCAGGGACACCTTCCACTAGACCAGGCTGCTCAAAGCCCCATCCAGCCTGGTCTTGAACACTGCCAGGGAGGGGGCAGCCACAGCTTCTCTGGGCAACCTGTTTCAGGACCTCACCAGCCTCAGAGTAAAGAATTTCTTCCTTATATCTAATCTAAACCAACCCTCTTTCAATTTAAAACCATTACCCCTTGCCCTATCACCGCAGGCCCTTGTAAAAAGTCCCTCTCCAGCATTATGTTGCATTTCAATTATTTTAACCATGACGCAGAATGATTATCAACAAGACAAAAAAAAAAAAGCAAGCATAGAAAGATAAGCTTTGGGCAATTTCTGTGAATATCACTGACATTGGTACATTTCCGTGAGGTATGAACTGCACCACACAGATCACCTTGAAGGATCAGGGCCACTGTTATTCAAATGCAATGGGGCTTAAATCGAAACACTTTGAGGAGTTCAGGGTCTGGATTACACATGAATAAAGAGCAAAATGTCATTTCAGTATTATTAGAATATTTCTGATTACTCAACGATACAACATGAGAGGCCAGGCTAGCAGAAAACACACCAACTGCTGTATTTGTCCTTAAATGTGATAAGGCCACAAGTGGCTTTCTACATTATCCAGTCAATGGCACATCACACACTGAACGTCAAGTAGCACAATTTCTTAACAGTTCTATTCTTCTGCTGTTGCCTAGAGTTGTAAGGGAAAAACTTAACTGCCATTGTGTTATTTGCTTGAAAAAAAAACAGTTGAGACAGAAGATTCAAAGACAATCTACAATGACTATAGAAGTCAGAGTGGAAACTATTTAATGTAGAGTTGTGAAGATAATTTCCATCTAATTTGAAATTATGATGAATAAAGCATTTATATGGTGATCCAACAATAGAACTGCAGAGGGTCTGGCAGAATTAAGAGCTCACTTTTTCTGTAAGCAATCATCAAGCTGTTTACAGGCCCACTCCCTCCCTCCACAGCCCAACAGGAAATAGGGAAGCATGGTGAAGTTTATTTTCTCTATCAGTTTTAAGGTATGCATGGTGCTTATGCAGTTAAATTTTGCTTTTTTCAGATTACACCTGGAAGCAAGGCTTCAGCTGCCAACCTGTGCCCTGGCGATGTTATTGTAGCTATTGATGGTCTAAGCACAGAGAACATGACACATAACGATGCCCAGGAGAGAATTAAAGCAGCTGCACATCAGCTCTGTTTGAAAATAGAGAGGTATGCATGTATGTCTGCTTACTTCTGAAAGAAGATCCTACCCAACCAACTGATGATACAGTACAACTACTACATAGCATAACTATTTTAAATAGTTTTACAAATTTCACAAAACCTTTAAAATTACAGCACCCAGACCCACCTCAGCAACTCCAGATCAGGCAAGACTCCTCAGAACGTTACTTCACAGACACAAGAATAGCTTCCCTCAGGCTACTCGCCACATTTCCCGAGCTCTGAACCACACCACCTACTGCCTCCAAGCTCTGAACCATACCACCTACTGATTCCACAAGTCCTATGTTTGCTGTCAGTAATCAAACAGTTCTCCATGTTTTGGGGAAATAATACAACCCTCAGCTAGCTGTCACTTGTAAAGCTGCCTCTCTGCTCTAACGGTCCCCTGGCCACAGCTGCTTCTCACTGCCTCCCGCTCCCAGTCACAAACAAGGCTGCTAGCACATCCTCCCAGTTCAGGAAAGCCACAGACAACGCTGCTAGCACGTCCTCCCAGTTAAAGACAGCAATGTCGCGTCAGACATTCGTAAGGGGAGACAAAGGAAAGGGTTTAAGCCAACCTCTTTGGTCACAATGTATTAAACCAAATACAAGATTCTCAAAGCAATTTGAAAACAAAACAAAACTAAAAAAACCATCTCTTACCTAAACTGCAGGAGTCCAGAAAATTTTTGTGTTTATTTCTCTCGGCTAAAGCCAGCAAGAGAAACAACCTGAGATCACTCAGCCTTTAATTAGAATCAGTGAGCGCACTCTTTCAGCTGTCCCCAAGAATCAGACAGCTCTGATTGACCCGAGGCCCTCAAGGAGGTACAGCCCTTCGTCACAGCTGACCACAATGCTGCTTTCCAAACACAGAAGGGGGGGTTTCTGTGAGAGGAGCGTTGTCTAAACACTAGAGCACGCACTGTGGTTAAAAGTTCCTACTTTTAAAAAAAGTTAATTCAAGGTTCTGTCACAGATTGATATATGCCATTTAGCAACTCTCTTAGGAAGGAATTTTCAAAATATGGTAAGTGCAATTGTGCCTATGAAATATGTGCATATTTTTAAATGCTAAATATTTGTACTTATGTAACAAACAGTGTTAGATTAATATTTAACAGCAACACTACACTATTTCAAAATTTGCTGCCATATTTCACTTTGTCAATGAAAACAGAATTGTAACTGATATTTCCATGTTTGTTATCTCTGCTTAAGTGACTGAAAGAATCATGTGTTCTATTTATGCTTGCACATACACTTTGCATACCTAGATTGCACCCCTCCTACATAGGAAAGCAGGCTTTGTATGGATATTGTGGTCATAAAAAAAGAAAATTATGTTGTTTTGGTTTAGCATTATTCCTAATATATTCACTTACTTGTGCAAAATATTCTGAGGACCCAACGTTCATTCTATCAACCATTAAAAAAAAGCCCTGTAAAAAAGTTTGGTCAGCTTAGGTCAGAAAAGCACTAATTTCCCTTTCCCTTTGCATTTGATAACTACTAACAAATTATTTCCAATTGTTCACAGTATATGTATTTTTTAAAAAAGCAAATACACTTTCTATATATTGTTTACATATAATACACTTTATGTATCATTGAAGTATTTTTATGCCAAAACATTAAAAAAGCATAGAACAAACTGCAGATTTTCAAGCTCCATTGTATTCTACAGGGAGGTATGCAACTCTATAAGAATTCAAGTTATTTAAATTCTGCCTTTCTTTCTAGGGCAGGAACTAAATTATGGTCCCCACAAGTTTCAGAAGATGGCAAAGCGCACCCCTTCAAGATAAATTTGGAAGCTGAACCACAGGTATGGATTGTTAAGTTACCTACCCATTTCCGTTCGCCTTTTTACACTCTAAATGATCTCCTTTATGGTCATTAATATTCTTTGAATAGCACTTCATCCATTATCGGCCAGTTGAAGCTAATACTAACCATCACAGTTATGATATGTATGAACATCACTTTATCTGACTGTCTGTTTCTGATTTTTCACATGTAACTGAAACAAAACATTAACAAGTTACAACAGATTCCCATTTTCCTTTACAACTGTACATATCACCATAGCTTTGTTATGGAAAGAAAATATCTCCTTTTATTCTGATACAGTTTAAGTTACTTCAACTCTTGTAGAGATTCTTCATCATATGAGGAAGTTCTTCAACCAGGAATAAATGTCAAGTGCCAAAGCAACGCACTCCTCACGTCACAAAAGCCATTTTCATGTAACAGTCTAATTAAAGAGCGAGATCCCTTAATACTGGGTCTCTTTACTTCCGTACATTTCTATACTACCCCACTGAGCTGAAAGTTACCATTTTCTAGAAAACCCGTTTACTGATCAATAAGCAAGCCATTCACCGCTTCGGACCAGGAAAGTCTTCAGCCTTGTGTATACACAAAGCAAATCCTACCAGTTGAAATCCTCCTCACTCTTCAAACTCACACCCAGCCCCTCGCGCAAAGCTATGAGCCGAAGTCTCAGTACTCTTAATAGTTAATTAGCTAGTTACTGCCTACAACTAGAGCTTTATTTCTTTGTCATTCCTCTCTAACCTACATGAACATTTGCTGTTCTCTCAAGAAGGGGAAGGGAAGAGCATTCTGCTGATCTTGGCCTTCCAGGATGAAAGCAAATATGTCAAAGTATTTATTTCTGTGCTATCCAAGAAAAATGTAAGTGCAGGTTCTATTTCAGTAAATCCTATGCAATAAATGTTTCCACCAATTCTGTTTTCACGCAGACACTCCCAAACATGAATATGGCATTTCAGTGTTTCAGTTCTCTCTCTTCTCTCCAATCTAGAAACTTGCATTCAGTGATACAGCAAACTTCATCAGAAATAATATAGCCTCTTCAGCAGTAGGAGATAGTATGGGGAAGAAACAAAAGTATTTTAAATGCATATTTTTGTGGAATAGCCAGGATATACATAAAATAAATAGCAATGGAACAAAATCACTAAAAAAAACTATGGAGAAAACCATGTAGGCATGTATGACGGAAGAGTAATCCCTTTGAATGAAAGCTGTGTTCCTAAAAAAGATAGTTACTCAAAAAGAAAAAATCACAAGAGTTCCCTAAGTGCTATTTGGCAGACTACCGAAAAGCAGTCTCCACTGGGCAATCAGAAAAACTGTTTCTCCTAGATTAAATAGCCAACCTCTTTGTTTTAGTATGTCTCCTTCTTTCCTTCCTAGGAAAATCAGGAATACTGAGTATATTTAATAAATAATAGGCCCCAGAGAGTAGCAATGCTTGTAAAAAAAAAAATATGCTAAACCATTCTAGGAATTATTTACATTTTAGATTAAATTCTTCCATCCAAGAACATCCATCACTCTGATGTCCCTGTGGAAAAAAGTATAGCCTTTTTTTCTACAATTGCTGAAATTTTAAATTAAATTTTACTGCATATTTAGCCGCAACACACGAGACCCAGCAGTGTGTATACCAGTAGTGAAAACTGTACAACGTCAAAGTTTCTTTAACCTCAGATGACAAATTATTGCACAACTATAATCTGTGCTCTTTAGGTCGTATCAGAGTCTGCTGAAATCCAACAATAAATAAAGGCATTGAAGCCCAAATGAATGCAAAAAAATCCAAAAGCAGTACAGTAGTCCTTCAAATTTGAAACGCTTTTATCCAAAAGTATTGTACACATTGACTGGTGTGCAGAAATGGAAAATCACTGAGTTCTATAAAAAGCATTTCCTTCATTTATACAAAAATTAAAATTATTCAAAAGGTCACAGATGCTATAAATGTAGTTACATTTTTTCATTCGAGCCAGATAGACATTTTGAAGTTCACTAAGAAAGTTTCACAAAAGAAAGTCGATAATTTAAAATACATTATAAGCCAGCTAAATAACAATAATAGATTTAGACTTACGCAGTCTTCTCAGTAAGTATCTAATTTATATTTACAAGCTAATAAAAGATATTTATAAATGAAAGTAAAACATATTTTAAATTGTTCAGCAATTTGGCCAAATATTTGGCCAAAGAATGCTTACTTTAGCTTAAATGAATGAAAATTATTCTACAGATGCTTGGAAATGGTTATGTGAAAGCTGATAAACAACTAAATACCGTGCCTTCTTGCAGCTATGGAAGAAGGAACCTTTACACTGCAGCAAACTTTTGCATTATGTTGAGCATCCCCAAAGAGTCATTTGGAGACTGATACAGGCAATTGCCACAGCACAATGAAGGCTCTCTTTATTTTGTCCTCTGGGAAGAGGAAACCGAGGCAACAATTCTAGTAAATAACTTGCAGCAGTAAGTGGCTGACCGAGAGCCACTCTTGAAAGCTACACATTCCCACATAAAATCCAGCCACCTAATTTCATTAGTCTGTAGCAACCTATAGAGTGATGGATAAATAATAGGAAGTAACAGACTACTTGAAGTATTACTAATACGACCACATCGTATTCTGTATAAAAACAATTTAGAACATAACGTTCTCAAAGAATATAATTAGGAAGAGAAAATAAAACAATCTAAATGGCAAACTGTATCCTATAAAATTATTTTAAAAATCCTTTCAGCTGTATTGTCAATGTAAAACAACACTATGACCTGTAACTTTTTTTCTCAGTTACAATCCCTTTAACCTCATCTAAAATGAATTTATTTCCATTACCACAATTTCTTTAATTGTTTTTATTTAGGCTTTTCTTTTTTGCTTCTATCTTTGCCTTTGAACATTTTGTTCAGTGTGGCTAGGCTTTTGGCCATGAAAGATATTATACATTCCTGGGAGATATAAATATACTGTACACATAGGTAAGTATAAAAATCTATGGAGAGAAACCCCACACTATTCTAAAAAGTAAGTTTATAGTCTATTACCACTTACAATCAAGTTTTGAAACAACATAATTGTGCTAGTCTAGTTTCAAGAACCTACCCCTTCTTCCATAACAGCATTTGGAGATCAAGATTTTAGTCCCATGATACCTCCACAATGTAAACAGCTGTGTTCCGTCACAGCAACTATCCCCAGGGAACGCCATCACATGATCCGTGCTGGATGCATTTCAACAGACTTTGGGGGCTACATTCATTATACTCCTGACACCTGTATCAATGCCAAATGTAGTTAGCCATGCAAAAAGGACATCAGTAAGCTAGGAAAAATTTAAGGAATTAAATACTGTGATTCTTGAATATTCCTGATTAGGAATTTCAACGACCTCCGGTTCTCATTTAGCTTCTGAACTAAAGGAGGACTTTTCACAGATTCAGTGAGATCCAATAAACACAAGAGCTGGACTATTTTTGCTGCTGTATGTTCTGTCACTGACATTTTATATGAATAGATGAGTTAAAAAGAAAATGGAATTTAAGTCTAACTAACTGCAAATATTTGTTTCACAACTGTTATATTGTAAACATGCTATTATGGTGCCACGTCTTCTGTGCTGTTCATTTGTCAACAAGAAATAAAAATAGGGGATGAAATGACAATGTTGACAGTTGTTTTTGTTCGTTTTGTATCATACATGGATTTAAATAAATCTTAAATACTTTGACATTAATAATTTTCATTAAGTAGACATGATCCTAAACACTAGAAGATCATTTACATTTACTAATACAGATTGTTAATTGCAACCCACATCTATCGGACAGAAATAAGGAACTGCAAATAAAATCTTTGTGCTCATTTATCTGATTGCTGCTTTGAGTAGCCTCTTACAGTGCAACGCTGCTAAACATTTTCATTTAACAAAACTGCCTTTTACTGTTTGCGTCTTCTGGTTGCACATTCTATATAACCATGACTTTTCCTTAGCTCTGTTCCTAAATATATTTCTGAAGCTGTTGTTTAAAATGAAAACAAAAGGGCCAATTCACATTCAGGTTTCCATAATTTTTGCGAATTATTCACCAAAACTTTGAACAGACTTGATATTGTCTGAGAAATGAAATAATGCTCTGAGAATGAATGAAAATCTACAGATATGAAAAATGGGTCCATGCTTACCTAATCTGCTCTTATTATCTTGATTTATTCTGTGGATTTGAGTATTCAAATATCTGCTTTGTTTTTTGGTTATAGGTTGTATTTGTTCTAACTGGAAATTTTTCTAGCATTCCTAAAGGCTAAGGTAATCTAAAAGAGGCATTTCTGCATCAAACCCCACTTTGTTTAGAGTTTCATTTAGTAGAACAAGGAGACTGTTTTGTGCAGCTTGAAAGACATAAATGGAAGACTACAATTACACCTGAATAATTTTAAAGCTGAAGATGTTGGGTGTGTCACCATTAAAAATATGTGATAACAAATACCAGACAGCATAAATTATACACAGTAATTAAGCCAAAAGCTCTGGTACCCAAGATACAAGCTTCAATAATCTGAAATAAATCTCATTCAGCAGAATCAGAATTTAAAACTGCCTACAGGTCATACGACACAGGGGGATAGCAACATAAATACAGAAATAGTCTATAGTAGTGGAGATGTATTCCTGGTACACCTATCACACTCAAAAACAAAGCCAAATCAGAGAATTGGCAAAGATCTCTATGAAAGTTGCAGTATTAGTGATCTCTGCTATCTTAACATTGCAAGTTCCAGTCTCTAAAGAGAGACCAGTTCCTATTCTAGAAACCTATTCGTTAGGAACCAGAGCTTTTTATTCCATGTGGATGGAAGTTCAAGTGCTCTTGCAGCACTGTCTCCAAAGAGCGCTGCAGGACATCAGGAAAAGCTAACGGACTGCAGCAGCAAACATTCCTCACCCACTTAGTGCAGAAGGAAAAAAAACCAACCCTCCACAGACGACAGCACTATTTTTTCCACAGTCTGTGTTTCTGTGGATTAGAGATGGACCTGAGCTGACAGGGACTGCACTAAATATGCACAATACAAATAAGTAAATTTTCACACAGTCAAGAGTCTTCATCATTCCTGGCCAATCACTACAGAAGAACATTGAAAGTTATCTGAAAGGTCATCAGAGATTTTGTTTCCAGATCTTATCTCTATGAATTTCACAACTAGAGGAAATTATCTGGGCCAACAATAAACAAAATCATACTCCAGAAATAAAGAAACATATGCAGAATTATTTCCAGTTTACCCATTTCTGGTTTTTAATTATTTGTGACGATTTCACATTGTCTTTAAATTATACAGCATCACAATTTTTGATGAAGAAGGTATGCTTCAAAATATGGAATAAGTTCAGAAGAATGTTCTCAATCTGATACACATTCAAGACCATTTCAGCTAAAAGAAGTGTTAAAAATTACGTTTTCTAGACAAGATATTTAGAATAAAATCTTCATACACCTGTGAGTCCCTCCATCAGTATGTAACAAAGAAGCAGAAGCCAGAGAATAGCACTAAAGGAGAGCAATTAAGCTAACTGTCCATCAAATGTTTCTAAAAGCACGCAAACTGCAAAACCTGGAGAGCAATCCAACAGGTTACTATAATATCCATCTTTCTCATTTCTTCTTAAAGTTGCACACTATTTACAAATGTGGAATGCCTTCTGTTTGCCCTGAGGCAGGAAAATCATTCTCTCTGAATGTGTCTGGCTTCAGCAGCGTATAGAAAATTCATGGAAAAATATAGTATGCTTGCACCAGTTAAAAAATAACCAAGTCGCAAAAGTAAAAAATGCAGAGATTAACAATACTGATGTTGTCAGTTGTACTCATGACTAGCTTTGGTGTGCATTGTAGCTTTGTGTGTTTTGTCTGCCTATCACGTACAGGAATTCAAGCCTATTGGTACAGCTCACAACAGAAGGGCCCAGCCTTTTGTTGCAGCAGCAAATATTGATGACAAAAGACAGGTAGTGAGCTCCTCCTATAATTCTCCAATTGGGCTGTATTCATCTGGCAATATTCAAGATGCGCTTCACGGACAACTGAGGGGTCTCATTCCCAACTCATCGCAACAGTGAGTACTGGTATTTACTTGTAATACGTAGTTATCTGTGGTATATCACTATATGCTCTGTTTTCAATTACAAAGTCCAGCTCTTGCTGTTTTTTTCTGATCATCAGGAGTTTATTGATTATCCAAAAAAACAGTGATAAATGAAGCAATTTTTTCCAACACAGGAAACTATCCATTCATATTCCTGTAGTAGCAACGCTGCAGGTAGCTAATCTTTGCCTTCTATGTTGGGCTGCAACACTACGTACCATTCTCTCTTCTAACTGCACTTTACTCCAAATGTTTCTGAACACTAAAAGGATTGTATTTTGAGTACCAGGAATGTACAAATTAAACACGGTTACTTCATGGTTACAATTTTAATACTTTTTTAGATGTTTTTTAACTAGAAATAAGCATTTACAGGCCAAAGAAAGTTAATTTAACCCTCTTTTCTTTACAGGATATGAACTACTTTGAACACAAGCATAATATTCGGCCCAAACCTTTCGTAGTCTCAGGCCGAAGCAGGTTATAAACTCTGAGTGCTGTGCTGGATTTGGATGCATGGTGTTATTTTTTAATGGATATTCACCATTCACATTAATAAAGCCTACTGATGCATTTGAAACTTACTTATAGTTATATAGCCTAACACTGAAATGAAAAAAAACCTGAAATGGTTGACTTGCAGAGATCAGGCTTGAAATTCAAATCTCTCTTTCCAAAAGAAAGCGGGTCCACACTCCCCTCTCAGTTATACAGATATGAGTCTGAAATAACTGTATTCATGAACATGATTCAGCTTGCAGCATAGCACCAGATATTGTATACTTACAAATCTGTGGCACTCTGAAATTATTCTGTCCAAATGCAAATGCATGTCATTTGTTAACTTGCTAAAGACAAGATAGCTAGTTGTATAAGTTGACATCTAGGCCATTCGGAGATTTTACGTTCGCTTTTCAGCAGACCTCTATTCAGAATGCAACCTAATGCAGAGCTAAAATAGGAGAACCATCTGATGCCACAGACACATAAAGCTCTAAAATGCAGAAAGGCTTATATATCTAGATCCACCATTTTAGTGTAATATTCCTCTATTGTAACTGGGGAAGAAATGCTGCTATTGTTTACATTATTAAATACAGAGGGGAAAAAACAATGCAAACTCTGAGGCTAAAAATGCAAGGAAGCTCAACAGCGCCTGACTGATGCGAGATATTGTCTGTCAGGTGTTCAAGCACTGGAGCAGTCTGTGGTTACAAACTGCAGAATCTCTGACAGAGGGCGTTACATCTAGAAAACCTTGGTTGTCACACTGTTTGGACTTTGACTAAAGGAAGAGCTGATTCTGGCCTGTGGGTTTGAGCTAATGGATTTGACATTAGCCGTGATTTTGGACTTTACTCTGTCAAAACTAACTGGAAATTATATTTAATCTATGATTATATGTTATTCATATTTATAATTTCTTCTGTTTTAACATTACTTTGGCTGCTCATAGCAAGAGTTGTGCTGGCCTTTGCCTGCTACTTTCCATTTACTAACACTATGAGCACTGACAAAACTTACTCTAATGAAGGATCTAAAGGTGGTCTTGATTCTTCTAAAAGAAAAGACTACAAATTTATAAGTTGGCCCCATGTGAAATTTTTGGCTGGCTCATGCTAGGCAGTGATGCAGAACTGTACTTTTGCTTTAAGGCAATTTCTGGAATTAGCTTTCTTTTAATGCATTTTTGAATGTATGTATTTCTCTCTACATTTTTGAGAAAGTGGTCCTACACAAATCACCCTCTGAATCAAAGGGAGAATTTTGGATCATCTCCACCCAAGAGTAGCTACTGGGCAGAGTACTGTACTATCAAACTAGGAAATGAGTATTCTCCCAGGTTTACACAGAATCATTCAGCTTGCAAAGAACTAACCACAACCCTGCTACACAGGTTGGAGGAAGAGATTAAGCATCTACCATCTCACAGCCCTGAACATCAAGTAAATGGTGACCAATGACTGTGGGAAGCCTGGGTTATGTGCTGTTACATTGCAACAGCAAAGAAATATCCCATAAGAAAGGAAGCCTCTGAGGTGCTATAGAGAAAAAAGACTGAAGTGTTAAAACAGTGACACTGAAGAAGCCTTTGGGCTTAATCTTCACATTATTTTACTAATCCTTTTCCAGAGATGTCAAATTGGTGTGCAGTAACTTTACTTCAGTAACGTCAAGCAACATTAATATTTCTAAAAAACTGTACATTTTTTTTATTATATATAAATTATATGTAAAATCTACTTCAAAAGCAGTATAATTAACTCTCTGAATACAGACCCATTGCTCTTGTGAAGGACCACTTCACATTCTACTGGAAACACTGTGACTGAGAAATGCAAAAGTATGCCTGGCTGTTTTAGTATCTTTTCTTCTTTGAAATGTTCAACAAATATTAAAAACATGAAATGTGTTGTTAAACTAATTTTAAAAGATTAATAACTGTCTTAATGTAGAATTTAAGGAAATACAGGAAATGTCACATTCGTTACTTCACACCATTCCAGTCTCTTCAACTGTGGACTAAGATGATGGTGAGGTACAGGGTTGGGACGATGTGTCTAGGATTCCAGTACTGCAGGTGTTTACTCTGTCACTGGCACGGACAACTCGCACAACCTTTGTATGCTGCCCGTTTGCAGATGTTAAGAGTTACTCATCTAGAACAAAGAATTTTAGGGAGGCTTAGTTAATCCTCAACAAAATCTGGCATTAAAAATGTGAAGTAATATTATGTTGTGAATTATTCAATCTATCAAAGAATTTTTACGATCTTGAAAGCAAATGCATGCCAGAATTTTAAGGACTGCTTTATAACTGGCATTGATACTTTTTACAGGAAAATACTTTTCAGTGAATACACATACTTTTGCTTTTCTCTGCTTTCTCTACTTTTGCTTTTCCATATCGGTTCTATTTCTGCTTTTCAGCCCTGTTAACATCACCGTATTCCTGTACTTTTCTCTCTATTCTCTATAATCCGATACGCGTTGCACACTCTTCTGTAACCTGGCTATTAACACAGTGGATGCAGCACTCCTTCGGGGATTGACTGTGGCAGTGGACGCAGCACCCCCTCTTCAATTAGCACGGTTAGCTCCATCTGCCCTACCGAGCTGAAAGCAGTGTCTAAGATGGCCCCTAACATTCCCTTGGAAATGGAGCTTCCCGGTGTCAAGATCGTACACGCTCAGTTTAACACACCTATGCAGTTGTACTCAGATGACAATATCATGGAAACACTGCAAGGCCAAGTTTCTACAGCTCTGGGGGAAACACCCATAATAAGGTAATTAGAGCAGTATCTTTAATATTAATGGATATACAAATTTAGAATTTACCAAAAATCATGAGCTTTAATAATATCACACTGTTTCTACAAAAATGGGTAAATGGGTTAGAGAGAACCTAAGTCATTTAAAGCCATTCAATATTTCAATTAAAGTATTAGTAACTTACGATTTTTAACCCAAAGTATTAAAGGAGTCTTTCAGAATTTACAAATAAATATTTCATAGGAAATAATCTTGTATTTGTAGCTAATAAATAAAAACAGATGATACTACCTGGACTATTAGCTGACTGATCACTCCAAATCAAGCGATTCTGATTCCCTCCAAAATTCAAAACTATTTATTATTGTTATCATAACTATTTATTTAATAATTATTTAACAACTTATTAAGAATTTATACAATATTATTGTTATTATTAACTCAGTTTTATTTCAACTGTTGAAATTCAGGTTATGAAGCTTAGGACATCTTGTAGAATTTTATAGTGTTGTAGATATCTAACTCCCATTCAGGACAATTCATTCGGTACCACTAGCTCTTGTCCAAAAAGAGCCAGAATTTTCCTTGTCAGCCTGCTAAGCCACCTCTGACTTACGAATTTTATCCACTGCAATAACTAAAAGTCAGGTAGGAACCTTATGTATCTGGGTAACAACAATGATTATACAATAAAAAGTTTTAAAGCACTATTCATTTTTCTCAAGGGAAAATTCATCTTTCATATTTCTTCATCTTTACCTTTTTATAATAGCAACTTATTTTTCTGTTTTACAACAGTATTTAAGTTAATAATTCATAATATGTATGGTGTAAACTAAAGCAATTACTAATATTTTAAATAAGCAATAATCACTGGCACCAATAAGCCTTCTTCAGCACCTTGTAGAATTGGGCTCTTACTAACCATAAAACTCCTATTTATATAGAAGTATTTAAGTTCACCTTATCTGATGAATACTGTAGTTCATGAAGTCTTTGCAGAGTGATGTTAATCTACTGCATGAATACTATCCTCAATCACTATAATTACAGAAGAATAAAAGAAAAATTTGCTTTTTCTTTATTCTGAAATCATAGATTAAGCCCAGGGTAATCAGATTTCACATATGCTTGTGGCACTCCCAGTTTGAGAACTGACTCTCTACACAGGTGGGAAATGTCTCTTTTATCATGGGACTGGTTTTCAGTATGTATGCTTTTAGAAACGTTCTCTCACATCTTTGTGTCTTATTTATTGCATTCTGTATGTAAATATCTTATCACTTGTTTGATATTTAGAAATATTTTATTTTAGTATATTTTAGTAGAGGAGAGAATCAAGGTTTTAATTTGCTATTGGTGAGAATTGTAAAAACTAAGCTCCTTCTATTCATTAAAAGCTTATGACAGGAAAAGAAAGTGGTAGTGTCTTCACCAGCTTAAAGACGGCTCAGAGCAATCTGTTGATTGATGAAGATGCAAACAATTAACAGGAGCAACAGGGGTCAGTGCCCAACTGCCACTGCCTTTACTGTGCTGTTTGACAGCTTAGATGCTACCCTGGGAAACACACCAAACCATGTGAATGAAAGCCCAGTCTAACTCCTTGTGGAATTAGTTGCTTATTTCCAGTGGAAACTTACCTAAGGTTGAACAGACAGTGGGAGGCCAGTTGTAACAGGAAATTTGAACTGGATATTTATGTAAACTTAGGCCTTTCTAATTAGTCCCAGTAGCAGTTTGAAATCTGCAGATGCCACACGTTCAGCCTAATTCCTGCCAGTGCATATACTCATCTACTCTTCCTCTCAGTGACTCAGGATGTTAGTTCTCAGATCTCATGATCAATTTAGAACATTTAGCACAGTTTAAAACACCATGAAATATTCTTGGTAAAATCTTCTTTCGCGGGTCATTGGAAATTCAACCATCAGCTGTTGTTTGGACAACAATTTACTTTATATTTTTAACATAAAATTGGCATTACAAAAAGTAAGCCATGTCCCACTCTAATTAAATTGAGAAATAGAATTTCCATCCATCAGTGTTCACCTTACGATGCTTCCTACTATACAATGCCTCTTTCACTCTTTTTGGTCATCTCCGTAAGTTAAATAAGTAACAATTATCTTAGCCAAATAATCACTACAGGAACTAGTGATCGAGCCAACACAGAAAAGTAAAAACACCTTCACGTCATGATCTTCTCCCAAAAGATTTGTTTGCTTCGGTTTTGGCTGACATATGTAAAGATATGAGCTGGGATTTTCACAACATTCTTGAGGCCAGCCGCTGTGAAAATGGAACTTCTGGATGCCGTACCAAAGAGCACCTGGTAACACAGCAGTTATAGGAATGCAACTGCTCTGAGGTGAAACACAGGTACTGGCCTGCTTCCAAATGCCGTTAGAGCCAGAACAGTCATTGCAGAAATACTCTCATGAGTGTGTAGATCTGTTTTTACAACAATCACACAGGTATTTTCTTCAGCACTTTTTAGATCAAGACTAGGCTACATAAAGCAATGCTACCTGGGTAGCTGCAGAAACACATGGTCTTTACGTTTGTTTCCTGAATCATATTCTGTGCCTGGTAGAGCTCTTGGTTGAAAGTCGTGTTTGTTAAAGCGCTTTATCTGCTTTTCCTCCCTGTGACACAGTGACCCAGCTCCCAACTCAGTGCCTCAGTCGGACGTGTACAAGATGCTGCACACCAACCAGGAGGAGCCCACTCAACCTCGCCAGTCTGGCTCCTTTAAGGTGCTCCAGAATTTAGTCTCCGAGGAAGGTGGTTAATAATGATATATTCTACCTGTTCAAAGCATTTTTAAATGTTTGTGGGAAGGGGGAATCTGAGAAGAAAATATGAGAGACCAGAGCTATAAGAATTTCTGAAAGCCCAAATCATTCTGAATCTTACAGATAGCACACCAATCTCCTAACATTTTTCCTCCTTGCTTTTATAGCTAGCAATTGCAATCTCCTGTGTGAATAAAACGGGGGTGTTAGTCACACTTTTCAGAATTTCTTCTCAGATATTAAAATCGTTAATATACAAACTTGACTTTAACTGAATGATAAAAAGTTTTATGCGATAGAATTTTTGGGACAAGCTGCATATACTCATGACCCCAAGAAAGAAAACACTTTCCTCCACATCCAGGAAAAGAGAAATTTAAACCAACTCCTAAAATAATTTTCACCCATGTCGTCTTCATTCTAAATGTAAATCTGAAGAGGACAATATAATTTACTGTCATATTTCCTTCAAACTAAGAAGTTTTGAAATATCATTACTAAAGGCTGCAAGTTTGTTATATTTACAGTGTGTAAAGAAAAAAATGCAACCAAAATTAACCTAAAAGGTAAATAATTAAAATTTTAATTTTTATATCTCAGTATTTTCCACAATATTTACCAGAGAAGGGATAAATACATCTAATTGTCTATAAATATCATTGTGGGGGTTTTTGCCTAGAATTTTCTTGTGTTTTGCTATAATTCTGTGTTTGTATCATGTTACTAATATTTCTAAATTTGTTGTATGGTTAGATATATAAATAAGAACCTTTCTAACAATAGGTCTTGACTATGTTTTGTTGCTATGCTAAAGCCAAATCCTCCTCCCTCTCCTGCTACACCCAAGACCTACTATCAGAGAATCAGGCGATGTCCATCAGACAGAGCGCACTATATCTATAATCACTTTTGTCCTTGTTTTTTGGCTACAGCTACACAATATTTTTCCCTATTCCAAAGAGGTGGAATCTAGCCCACTAAACTTGTATAGAGAAACTTCATTGTTGGTATAAGTGAAAGCCTATTAATGCATCCAGAAGTGTATTTATAGGAAAAGTATTTAACTGCATCAGATGCTTTTCTATTAGTCTGTGCATAACCGGATTGTTTTGGTACTCAGATGGACGCCCTGTGGGTACAAGAAGTGTGAAAGCACCTGTGACAAAGATACCTACTGCCATGCCTGGTGCCCAGAAAGTGCCACTGTGCGACAAGTGTGGGAATGGGATTCTGTAAGTCGTTTCTTTTTTGTTTTAAGAATCTTTAGCTCAAGCACATACCCTCAAACACCACCGCAGGCTACAGGAATGCTTTCCAAGTGACAGTCTTCGTCTCCACCAGTAGAAAAATGCTTCTAGAAAACAGAGATATAAAAATGTATTTTTTCTAAATCCCAAATTATTAACCTGTACTTTAGACACTTTCGCTACAGTTTATTTCAGTTTTGACAATGTACCATCAAGGCTGTAAATAAGATTTCTCAGGACCTTTTGCAAGTCAATCATTAACACATACACAATAAAACCAGCAGTTACCTGTGTGCTGCATTGTCTCAGGCTGTGAAGTCTCTAAAGTTTCTTGGTAGTGCAAAGATCCTTCTCCCAACCCAGTGGCAGTGTCCAGAAAGCTCTGGAGGCCTGTTTTAAAACTACCAGATTTCTATCTGAATGACTTCACTAACTTCAGCAAAGAACATAGACATTGATGAGGTCAGAGAACACAGTAACTGAGGAAATGTGGTTTTTAACCTCATTTTGTCACCATTTTGATTGGTTAGACTGTCAGACATTGATGAGCTCAGAGAACACAGTAACTGAGGAAATGTGTTTTTTAACCTCTTTTTGTCACCATTTTGATTGGTTAGACTGTACTTTCTGTGTTGTAACCAAATGTGTTTTTTCAAACTCTAGTTTTCCAATGAACGATTGAACTGTGTGATCAACTCTACTGCATTTTCTGTCACTTACTCAAACTCAGCTTCCAACCTTCAGTTTTACAGCAGTTGGCAGAACCACCAGACGAACAACCTGAAAGCCTTAAGATAAACCTAGAACTTACTTTGTGTCATATTGTAGTTTCTTCCCAGTTTAAATTCATATGAATTAATTATTTTTTTCTTTTTATTGTTTCCTTACAGAGGAACAGTGGTGAAGGCCCGTGATAAATACCGGCACCCAGAATGTTTTGTGTGCTCTGACTGCAATCTCAACCTGAAACAAAAAGGCTACTTCTTTGTGGAGGGCCAGCTATACTGTGAAGCTCACGCACGGGCTCGCATGAGGCCACCAGAGGGATATGAAGCAGTCACCGTGTACCCAAAATGCTAGTCTTCTGTTAACACACGAATATATGCATGCACACAAAACGCCATGAACAGCTTAGAACTGCAGTACAACTGTCAGGACTTCTGCCTGATTCCAAAGTAGCAGCTTTTAAACCTTTTCGTGTGGGATTCTGAGGGAGGTGGAAGTCCCTGCTAGCCACCAGTAGCATATTATACCAGTAAAATTCTGTTAAAATGTTGTCTTTGAAGTTGCCAATACCACTCAATGAATTATACATGAAAATAGCCGTACTGGAATACAAAAAGTGAAACAGCTGAGGTATTACATGATTGCTACAGCATATACATAAGTGCTGTAATCAAGATAGTATTTTTAACATAGATCTGTGCAAGTATCTGTGCAAACACCAAAGCCATCAAAGTGTTACAGGTTGGGCCCTAACAAATGTAGAAACTTGACAGATCATTAGAAGAGCAGCTATTTTACATGGATAGTACAAACCAAGCAGTTGTTCAGGTCTGCTTCCACCATGTATTATTCAACTACCAGTGATGTATGCCCCAAATAGATTTTGCTTACTTTGCTTTGAATTTGGGGTTATATTGACTTAATTTTCTGATGCAGCAACTGTGATAAGGAATAAATATCAAGTCATACAGTAAAATGACTCATGTAATAAAGACTGTTTAGTAAGAAGCAAAACAGAAGTTCTACGTTGTTTTAATGATTTGCAGTGAAATCAGCTTTCACATCACTTAGCAGAAATTTGTTGTAAGGGATGCACACACATACACTAGTTTTTGAAAAAAAAAAATCAAACCACACAAACAGAAACTCACTGCCAATTGAAAGTAAATTTTAAAACATTTCTGCAGAAAATGGTACTGCTTTCTTGCATCTCTGTCTTTCAATTTCCATAATAGAAACAATAGGGAAATATCATCATAATATCTTTATCACTGCTAAATTAAAACTTGGACAACTTTAAAAATAAATGTTAATTAAAATATGCAAAGGAAAGATCTTTTCTAAAAGGCCTGGTGAAGTCCTAAGGAAAAAAAAAAGCTGAAAGAATACAGTTTTTAAATCCATTTCTGAAACTTTTTATGGGCTACATTGCTTTCAGGTAGGTGCCAGCTACATACATACACACACCTGACCGACAAAGCGAACCTTACCATTTTTAAAAAAATATCAACACTATTCATAACTGATTTATTGGGGTATTTTGAACCTGCTTTAAAGTAGAAAAAGCTACAAAATTTTACATCAAGTCTACAAGACTAGCAGAAATTAACAATTCAGTGGCAAACAATCTTATATACTTTTCTCATTCTACAATATAAGAAGCTTAAAATGTAAGAAGAATATAGAATCAAAATAAGAAGCTCTACGTACTTTAAATTTATTTTTAAAATCCGGATGAATCCTAAAGCTTGAAATACAATGTCCACATATTCAAAGACTTTTAAAAATGTCTTAAAGTATTATTTCAGAATTTAAATTTTTTAAAAACTTTTTTGTCACTGTATTTATAATTTCTGTCTGCATATCAAAAGCAGACATAACAAAAGTCTTGCACCCTTTTAAAGTTTAGTTCCTGAATTATTTTTGGGCACAAAACATAATTCTGCTCCTCATGTATCATGGAGGCTATGTGTAGCATTTACATTTTTCCTCTGATAAAGCTCATAAAATAAATCTGAAAATCCTTTTGAGAGTCCACATAATGTCTATTTTTACAAACCTAAAATGTCATCGGTGTTTTAAAATACTTGCTTAATGTTCATTTCTTTGTAGAGTAACTGAAGGTAAAAATAAATCTACTACATACGATAAAGATTCTGTATTTCTTTTCAACTGGTATGAAAAATGACAAAGTGTGAGTGTCAAGTGACTTGACAGTAATAGAAGGTTGGCATTTTCAGCCTGACAGAGGAGTATGCTTCAGATTTATCAAACCGCTGGCAAGAATGTATCAGGCACTGGAGTATATAATCTGGGCAAAATTAGCTTTCTAAAACTGAATGAGATCATGTACTTTCAAAACTGAAGACCCCAAACCAATCTCTCTTCAACAAGCCAAACACGCCAATCTGAAATGTGGGGAAACTCTCAGAAATGTAGATACAAGAACTGTTAGGTTAAAAGAAAGTCACAGAACATGACCTGATGCCAGTACTTTGGGGAAAGTTCAGTGGTATTGCATCATCTATTTTGAGAGGTTTGAGGTCGGGCATGACTTCAATAGAATGAGAAGGTACGCCTATCTAATTGCCACTACCAACCTACATGAAAAGCTTTACACTGATATAACATAAGGAAACAAAGATTTTCAGTTAATGCAGATTCTAAAACCCTTGATCCTGATAGAGAAGAAAAACAGGATATCTCATCCTACGGTCACTTCAGTCTCGGGGAATTGAACACAGAGATCTAAATGTGAGAGAAAGATATAGCAATTCTCTCTATTGCATACTCAAGGCCAAATTCTTTATCTCAGTAGAATGTCAGCAGTTCCTGGCACAAAGTCTTTACAAAGCATCCAGCTAAAGAAATGTCATCTACTTTATCTGCTGGCTTAAGAATGGCATAGCCAGTAAATCATGATAGCTTAATGCTACAATGCCCCTCAGCTGTGTCCAGGTTGTTTTAGATATATATTACAAGCCGAAGAGAGCCATGGCATTTATTTTTAGATGGAGAGAAAGACAGTAAGTGTGACTTCACATGCTTGTAATCTCAACTCTTCAGACGCTGATCAACAGGTGTGAAAAAGCTTTCCTCAGCTAGGCTACTGCTGCATAAACAGCAGGGCTCTCCTGGGAGATGGTAAAAATCTATATGAAACTGCAATTCTCAAAATGAGTAAAACAAGAATTGCATCTGAAAACACACAGAATAATTTATATGGTACTTCTGTATTAATTGTTCCAAGACATATGCTTTTGGGCTTTTAAGTAATGCTGAAGTGTTGCCCACAATTTGAAACCTAAAAACTTCTCTAAAGTAGTTAAAAGAAACTACATTGTTCCCATCAAGTCAGTTACTTTTTTCAGTTTTTCAATCACATTTCAGCACTTAAAAATGAGACGCACTTCTGTTCAGATCAGAAGTATGCTCTTCAAAGTAAACCCCCCGTCACTCCCACCCCCTGCATTTCGGTTCACATCACACAACAGCTTCGGAGGGCACAAAGGGGTTTCCTTCACGACGAAATTCAACTAGCAGATGATCTCTGGGAGCACTGCTAATGCACACCAACCACTAATGGGAATTCAGCCCATAGAACCAAACCAGAGCTAAACAGCCCCTCCCTCAAACACATGAGGTGGATGCCAGGTCCTCAATACCGACTGATCCGCTCCTGCTGCACCACGCTGCCTGCTAACGCAGACATAGCTTGAAGCATTTATTGCAACCTTCATTGAGAAAAAGTTTCGTAACAGAAATTAAATTATAGACTGTTTAAAACTAGACATATACCCAGTCTCAAAATTTGGACCTGGCTTCAGATGTTCCAAAGCTCAGAGGTGTTTGATCAAGAACTCTCATTCAAATTTCTATAAGCAATATAAAAGTGAACAACTGTGCATTTGGGTATAGACCTGACTTGCATGTAAAACACATGCACCGGATTTAAACTCTATTGAGGGTGGTAAGGATTCAAAAGGGCAATATTATTCTTTACCTAGTGGTTTCATACATTTATAAACGAAATGGTGGGAAATGAAACATGTTTGTTGGCAACCGTACGACAAATTTTATCTCTAAAGGCAACCATACCCTGCAGATTTGCCCTTGTGTGTTTCTTTTTCTCTCCTCTCACCCAAGTAAGGCATTCAGATAGCTTCTTTCGAAATTGCTAACAAGAAACTTCCACATGGAAATTATTCCTTTTTTCTTAATACATGAAGTTTTTAAAAAAAAACGCACACGAGTCTTCAACATACACTGAGTACCACCAACTAAAATCTTTGTCTCCACAGTATATGCTTGATAAGTATTATTATCTACACAATGTCCAAGTTCACAAAGGATTTTGTTTCTATGTATGGTAAAGCACACATTTGTTTTAGCATACTGAGTGAGTGTTTTTAATTACACTCAGTCTACCTAATCCTCCCTCTCCCCACACCAGGGCATGATCCAAAGACCAGTAAAGCTTATAGGAGAGTCTTGAAAGATTGTATACGATATTACTCTGGAAAAAAAATGCTCTCTTTGGCACAGGCTAGGACTGTTGTCCAAAATTAAACTTTCAAGAAACACTGTTACATACACTTCATGTGCTGATAAAATTACAGCTGTGTTGGAGTGACGAATCCAGAAACACAGAAACAGTAGAGTAGTCAAAGATTATAATTTATTACTCAGAAAACAAAATATTCAGTAAATACCAAGAGGATTCTGAGCAAGAGGAAAAATCTCTTGCAAGCTTGTCAAATCTTTCTTTTCCAGACACTGTTCAAAACCAGATTTGTCATGGATGTCTCAGTATATTCTTAATTATGCTGCTAAACCAGCAGCCTATAAAAAGTTAAATATTAATTAGACCAGATACACTAAAGAGATATGACTGGAACAATATGTTCAATGGCAAAAAAAAAAAAAAGGGAAAAAAAAAAAAGAAATACTTGCAGCCAAATTTTTTCAGCACATTCAGGCCAAAACCACGTTTTGCAAAGCCTGTGGGGTGTCAGTAGCAACACCTTACACCCCTGCCACAAGGCACAGAAATATTCAGTCCATTTGGATACAGAAAGGAACCGAAGTTGCCCAGCACCAGCTTTGCAGCCAGTGTGTTGTAAGGTGCTTGCAGGTTGTGTACATACACAAAGCACCAGCATAGGTAGTTTTCTTTGCGCAAGCGTAAATCCCAAAGAGAAGCTGTGACTGAGCAAATTACAATCAGTCTTTCGGTCTACTTACAGGTAAAACATCCTTTTCACAGACTGGTTATTCAGTTCGTGTGTGGAACTTATTCAACCCATTAATTATAAATGAACGCTATCTATTTAGTAATCATATTTCTGACTGAAATCTCTCTAATTGGCAGTGTCACAAATAATTCTCACCACTGCTACACTTTGTGGAGAGTGGACTTGCAACATTTTTACTTTTACAGCTTGCACATTTAAGCAAGTTGGGAGTAGGTTAAAACTGTCAAATATGAGACACTTAGAACTAAGACAATTTTATTTTAGCTTTCTAATATTTTCCAAGAATTACATCCTGTTCTGCTCTTTTCCTCTTGCAAATTCCCTCAACTTCATTCTGTTTTCACTGCAAGAACACCCATAAATTCCAAACCATGGTCACTTTTACAGAGAGCTCCTGTTCACTGCTCTAGATCTCCTGCACCTCCTTAAGCAAGTCATTTCAAAACTATACGCAAGTAGGATGTATGAGGTGAGAAGTATAATTGTTTCAAAGTCAGATTCTTCCACTGTCTACCTTATCTCATTTTATTAATTATAAGAAAAGCATATATTACAAGAACACTCAGAAGCAGAGACAGCCCAACTGTATCAGCCACTGCATAGAGAATAAGATATAA